ATATATATATATATATATATATATATATATATATATATATATATATATATATATAATGTTAAAAAAATTTAAATTTTAATAATACAATATTTTCTTTTAACTACTAAAAAAATCTACCATCTAATCCTTTCAAAATTAATTAATTTATTTTTTAATGTAGTAAAAAAATATTTTTTTTTTCTGACCTTATTTATCTAACAGATAAAAAATGTTATCTACTCCCTCCTCATATATCCTCCATAGGTGACTTGAAAGGATGAAATTCTTTATGTCTTTATTAAGAACAATTTTTTTTTTAATTAAGACTTTATACTATATTAAGTTTATTTTTATTTTTGGGCAACCTACCATTCTTATTCACGTATATCTTAATGCTCAGTGGAGGAAAAGAAGGTTCTCGAATTTTTTTTTTAGTTATAATCATTTATATCAAAACAAAAATCGTCTATTACATAAAACTCTCTATTCTGTTAGTATTTAATACTCACCATAAGAACATTCTTAAATCTCTTTTAAAACATCAAATATTAATACTATTAATGCTAACAGTTTCATTCATATATTAACCATAGATTTTGTTAGATGAATATAACTCTACAATAGTATGATATTGTATATTTTAAGCATAAGCTCTCGTGAATTTGCTTTAGATTTCTCCAAAAGATTTCACGCCAATGGAGAGAGTATTTTTTGTTTATAAAGCCATGACCATTCTCTAAATTAGTCGACGTAAGACTTTCTTCGTCCAACAAATTTAAGATATTAATGAAATTTTTGAACAACGGGTTAGCGGTATAAAACCAAATTCATTATAGGAGTAAACTAAATTATAATTTTCTTAAATAGGAGGGATCAAACATGTAATTAAAATTAAGAGAAGGGGTTTATATTAATTAAGGACGACCGGCGGGTGCAAGTCAACGTCGATAGGCCGTACGTTCATAAGCTGAGGGCGGACATGCATGGTGGCCATTCCACTTAGCTCCACAGCAGTAGCAAAATTCCGATCCGCACCTACAAATTTCATGTCAAATTACTAAATTAATTTATCTGTTTGCAAGAACAGGAAGAACAAGGAGGAGGAGGAGGCGGCGGAGGATGGTAACCTGCAGGTAATATGGAGGCAACCTTCGATCTTCTCGACTAATATCTTGCAATGAGGGCATCGCTTCCATTTCCGTTCATCCGCCAGTTTCATCGTCATCTCCTCCTCTCTGTCTACTCCTCCGTTCTTAAGCAATCTCTGAAACTCCGTGCAGTTCATGTCCCCATGCCATCCCACTCCACACTTGGCGCAGAACATTCTCCAACACTTAGGGCATTCAACCGCCTCCATATCTTCCTCGTCCACCATCCCTGCCGAGCAGTCTTTGAATGGACAGTACACCATCTTCCACTTCAGAAGCATTGCCTTCAACAGAGCATCTCCCCATCTCTCCAACACCTCTTTCGGAACGAACGAATCGCACATTTCCGGTTCCAGCACCGCCGCGCATTTTGGCTCTGGGCATTTCACCGCCATGGAATCCTCGAGCTTTGCGGCTATGTGTTTTGAGATGCAATCGGCGCAGAATGTATGGGAACAGCCGGTGGATGTGAACATTTCGGAGGCGGATTTGGTATCGGTGCAGATTGTGCATAGGGTTGTAGAACCAGAAGATTCGGGGTTGGGCGATGGTTTATTGGACATTATTGTCGAAGTGAATAAGGAGGAAGCGATTGATTCCTGGAGCTGTAACTCTTCGGCGAAGATTTCGTCGGAGATTGGGAAGACGGATTGGTGTTCGTGAAGGACAGAGAAGTATATATCGTCGACGGAGAGGGAAGAGCCGTGGCTTGATGATGCATCCACTGCCATTAGAGGTGCCTTTTGGAGTGGGAAGTGAAATTGAAAGCGATTTAAAGGGAGAATTCAACAAAATATTCAGACGATTTCCAAAGCAGATTGAACAGAGCCCGAGGAAGGTGACTGTTCGATACTTCCCCTTCGTTTTCAACCAATACTCCATAAGAACTTGATCAATGTGTTTGAATTATATTTGTGAATTGAATCATCGTTCTAAACCACAAATTTATCGGATTGCCTGATCAACGTGATTGAATGATTCGTATTTTCCTCTGTTTTCCTCTGTTTTGGAATGATTCGTAGTTTTGTTGGATCATCATGTATTTTTATACAATGAAAAATGGTAAATTAGATATCTATGTTCATTAAAATACATCAGTCATGGCTTAGCTACAAGAATAGAAGTTATATTACAGCACCCTACTGCTAACTTTACTCCTAACTCCTAAACAGCTACCTATATCATGAAGTCTGTTCTCATGTGTGCTCTAATCTTTACTCTTCAGCAGCACACCATCTCAAATCAAAACTCGTCTACGAGCTCATGGAATGAATAATTTCTCATGTACGATATAAGAATAGGCAAAAAGGAAAAATAGCACAGCCGAAACCTCGAGACGAAGGCCAAAACTGAATCAAGGTATCCGTGGTGGATTCGTTAGTCCTTGCGGAGACCCGTTTGCTACTCTGTGTGGTTTCTTCTTGTTGTAAGTTGTAATGCTACAATGTGGACAAACATACTCTAGCCCATCTGTTTTGGCATAATCCTGGAAGTAAAGAAACAAAGTATTAACCAGATTGCACAACACCCTTTCAGTTTCAAGTTTCACAAACCCGAGGATTCTCCTAGAATGTATCTCGTGATGGTCGGAAATTGTACCTTAAATGCACCGAGACCCTGCCTTCGATCGCACCCGAAATGAGCCCATTCACCACAAATACCACAGTTCACCCAATCCCCTGCTGCACTACTGTTGTACAGTTGCAAATCCCATGGTGAGGAAGTGATCTTACAATGATTATCAAAACCATGAGAGTGTGAGAAGAATCAGTAGAACAAATTGACAAACCTGTGGCACAAAAGGCAGCATTCTCCATCTACATCATCATGAGCCAATTCATATTCGAGAAGGTACGTCTCGTAATGTCGTTTCAGTGTATTTCCGACACCCTGTGAGAACATACAGGATCAACTTCTTCCAACATATGAGATTAGTAAAATTGAAACAGTTAGGGTCACAAATCTATGAGAAAAAGCTTGCTGAACATACAGTCATTCTGTTGGACATTGTGTAGTTATGCATCTTAGAGAAGATCTGCCCTTTCCAGTTGATACCGTTACCGACATGAAAGCCTCCTCGAGTGACCACCTATGAAACAGCACGTTCAATATGGGTCTTTTCAGGTAAGATACCAAAAGAGGAATCAATGATTCAAGACCGTACCTCCTTATACAAGTTATAGAGGTCAAGACGCTTTCCGTTGAGTATGGCGTCTGGGAACTCCTCAAGTCCACCTTGAGGTATAAGTCGTGAATGTCCTCTAAGTAGTAGAAACTCCATAACATCCTTCAAGAACTCCTCCTGAAATAGGAGCGGAAAAGAAACGTTAATAACAGCATAAGGAAATCCATATCAATTCAGACGGAAAAACTTCTGAAATAATTGTACATGAACATATAACATAAAGTTGAGATCTCTTCCTCCTAAGAAAAGCATTTCAGAGAAATATTTCAGTTCCAAAATATACTACCAATAACCCGATACCGACCGACCTTTTAAGTTTAAACATTAATGAACATGGTATCTTACCTCTGAGCAATCTTGAATTGGGTTTCTTCCACAACCATGCTTCTTTAGAGGCAGCGGGTTTAAGGAAATAATCTGCTTAGACTGAGATGAGCTCGAAAAGGATTTTCTTTGTGTTGCAGAAGTTGATCCTACAGTTACATGCTTTGATGGGGTAACAACAGGAAAACAAGCCTTGGGTTGTCCTCCATTGTTCCCATCTGCTTCGGTCAATCCAGAGAACGGCGTCATTTTATTCCTATGCACGCGTGGAATAGGCCTCATGGAGGCTACTTTTAATCTTTTCCTTGTTGCGAGTAAAGGTGTCTTGAACCCATTCATTGGTGCAGGCTCCTCTCTACCTACTCTTCTAATGAAAGGGATGTTTGCATATGCAAGACGATCGTGTGAAAGGGTGCTCCGTATTCCTTGGCTTGGTTCTACTCTCTTTCTACTAGGAGGCGGTGGCTTAAACCAGCTGGGTAATACACTTACAAGCAACTGATCTGAATGTTTATCATTCACATCTTTTGAACAAAAGAAGAGCAATCGCTCAGCATCCTCTTTCTCGAAAGAAGCAACAGGCAAACCCTGAACTCCCCCAATGCCGAGTGCAACTAAACTCCGATACGACATATCAGGTGCTAGCTGCCTCAAGACCTGAAACAGCATCCATGGAAAACAAATTGATATCGATACATTAAAGATGGAGCAGCTCCGGATTATTCAACCAAGTTCAAATCTTTTGATAAATTGAACCTCAACCAGAGAGCCAAGTTCATTCCTTTGAATAAAGAATAAATCAATGTACAGTTTCCTCTAGAGTACTTAATTTAACTGGGGAAGGGGGAAAGCAAGCATGTCGGCGGACCTGTGATGCCCAAGCGGGAACCTTCATGGAAACCTCAAATACTGTTGCCCCACAGGCAACTGAAGCAGATTTTCGAGGCTCGTGCATGTGATGTTTGTTGTCCTCACAATCATACATGGCATGAACCAACTGGTTATTTTCAATAATCTCGTGTTTGATATGTTTCTCTAAGAGCTGAAAAAATTAGTAGCAACCAGGTATTAGACTCCTCTGATTTGAAAAACTTAACAAAAAGAAACAGGTCAAATAGTTCAAATCAGAAACAAACCTGATCATCAAAACAAGTATGAGGGCTACCAGACACCAATATTGAGATGTGGGCTGAACTACAAGTCACTATATCACACCGCATCGTCACAACTCCACGAGCAAAGGATCCTGCCTGAAGAGGTGGCGGAGGAGCACTGAACCATATTTTTCAAGGCATTAATACCATAAACAATTGACATTCACTCAACCGAAGATTTAATTCCTATATGACACTGAGAGTTAACAAATAGAATTGGTGTACCAAATGTGCTAAGTGGTTGAAGTGTTCGAACCGAAAATATTCCAAGTGTATTTCATTATAAGTTCTTTCCAAGGAGAAGCATACCTGAACTTTCCCTGAAGTTTACACCCACGTATCTGTATCGCCCATAAAAACGAAAAACTCAAAAGTTACAACAGTTCATAGAGATCGTTTCCGTTATTTCATTCAGAACATATTAATGAATAATATCAAACAATGTCATTGACCAACTCTTACAAGCCATAAAACAAAAAAAGTTCCAAAGGATACTTACTTCAATGTTCAAAAGAGCATTAAGGCCATCCTCCAATGATCTCAATAAGCATGCATCCTAGAAAGCAAGTAAAACAGCTTAGAATTGAAAAGGTACTCATATTCTTGCACACCTATAGGCAGGTGTACCCAATGACACATGAATATATGAAAAACGCCTCGAAACTGATTACCGGTGTGCAAGGCACTCCACAGATAAGAAATCTCACGGTCACATTATTATCGTGAATACTTATGGCAGTGAGAGTTTCTAATGAACCATCTTCATCTTCACCTTCACCTACGTCGACCTTGGGGGGTTCTACATTAATCTTTAGGGGTTCCCCAAATACCTGTGGCTCTAAACCACTCGTAATACTGTCAACAATCCCAGGCAGAGCGTGACTGCTCCCCATGCAATGAAGCCTAAAAGCAGCACGTGCAAGCTGAAAAGCATCCCATGTATGAGTAGATGAACTGCAAGCACACAAGTAAAATAAAACGTAGAAATCAAATATTTGTCACCCTCCACAGACACACTAGTACAAAGGTTCAGAGAGAAAAGTAAAACAGATACAACATATGCAAAACATAAGTGTCCTTAACAAGTAGAGAGGGCCTACCAGTGTCACTAACAAGTTAGATGGCTTGTGTTTTGTATAAGAATGACACGTAGATAGCTAGAAATCGAATGCATGTCAAATGATGACTGTAGTTTTGTTTTCCGTGGGAATTCTCCTTGAGAAACTCGACTTATTTTACATGAGAATTCTTTTTTCATGTTGATTTTTAAGATTATATTCATTATATATCATGCAATTCATTAAAGTCTTCACCCTTGTTTTGTCCTTGCACTTAAGCCCTAAAAAAGAGCTATTGCTCTTTAATTTGCGTCACACTTTTAAAACCACTACTATCAATACGTTCCATAGTAGGGTGAGCTCATACAAGAAGCACAAAGTATATATAATATGAAAATGTGAGATCCCACATCGATTGGAGAGGAGAATGAAGCATTCTGTATAAGGGTGTGGAAACCTCTTCCTAGCAGACGCGTTTTAAAAACCTTGAGAGGAAGCCGAGAAGGAAAAGCCCGAAGAGGACAATATCTGCTAGTGGTGGGCTTGGACTATTACAAATGGTATCAAAGTCAGACACCAGACAGTGTGCCAGCGAGGACGCTGGGCTCCGAAGAGGGATGAATCGTGAGATCCCACGTCGATTGGAGAGAGGAACAACACATTCTTTATAAGGGTGTGGAAACCTCTTCCAAGCAGACGCGTTTTAAAAACCTTGAGCGGAAGCCTGAAAGGGAAAGCCCAAAGAGGACAATATTTGATAGCATGGGCTTGGGCTGTTACAAACAATCACAAGACAAACTTCTATTCTAACCTAAATGTGAAGATAAGTATTTACTTGAATCCATGAAGACAGGCAAATAGACACCTAAAACCACACAATTCTAGTATGCCTAATAGCAAGTAGTGTAAAGCCTTCAAATACGCAATGTACCTCTGCAACACTGAAAACAATGCATTACGAAAATGAGCTGCAGCATAACACGAAAATGTGCTGTTCCAATACATGACATAAGGAATTCCCTGCACAATAACGAATCTATTTCAATAAACATTCTTCAACAAAAAAAGATATCGTACAAGAATGAAGCGCCTCCACTATTAACACCATAATTTAACTGAAGTGGTGGTCTAAGAACCTCATATAAGTCACCTTAGAATGAAGCGCCTCCGCTATTCTGCCTCCATTTGGGATTTCTAAATACACCTGAGCAAATAGATGAACTAAATTAATCAAAACCCGAATCCATTCCTCCAACCCCATCACGAAGGAGTGAACGGGCAGAAGATAAAACGAGATGTTTATGTAAAGAACTAATGCATCAATTATAGAAGGGAGACAGAGCATACAACAGTTGGTAGTGCAGTATTGAACAGCCCACATAAATCTTCAAGAAACAAATCAACACCATTCCAAACCAAAGATCCAATTTCATCATTTCCTAGTTGTTCCCCTTGCAAGTAGACAAAGCTCGGTAGACACGATTCCACAATTCTACTAAATTCATCCGTGCTTGGATTTGTCAAAGCTCGAACCTGCACATTCAAGCAGTTGAATATTTTGACAAGAACCATCTTAAGTTTAGGAAAATTGCAGATAAATGAAAACTAATGCAGATTAGCACCTCCAATCGTCCAGAAGAAACTAATCCCGGAAACGGATATTTCAACTTATCCTCATCGACATCTTCCTCGCATTTCGCTTTAAGAACACTTCCGCAAGTGACAGCAAGTAGGCTACAAGTTTGTCTAGCAGCTATTACGGAATGAAGCATCGTTTACAAGAAGAACCGGGAGATAATTGCATTAAGCAAACTTCCTCAAGCAATGAGATCTTTCAACTTGCTTGTGGAACAGTTAGAACACAACCATTCGCCAAAACAGAGCCCCAACGCTCTGTGATCAGCTAACAATCTCAGAGACCAATACCAATAGGCCATGACCTAGAATTACAGAACCTGAATTTTCATTTTGAGGTTGAAACAATGCCATCATCCTAAAGCCTCTCAAGGACGGCTTTAAGATCAAAATCAAAGCCGTCTGGAACGTTTAATTCTCACCGGACCAACAATTAAACCCTAAGAAATCACTCACTTCAGCATATAATTTCAGCAAAACTGAATGCAGGACTTATCTAGAACTCAAACCTTATGAACAACAAGAACAAAGCATATATCCAGCTGCTGTCAAGGATTCATTAAAAAAAACAAAAACAAAAACATCAAAACCGAAGCTCCAAAGCAAAACCCATAAGAGAAAACCTCAAAATTAAACGAACCAGTCACCAGAAGAAGAAGCGAGAGGGAATTCAGCGCCTCAGACGACAGAAACCGGAAAACCCAGAAAGCGAATGGGAAGGATGAAGGGAATTTGAGCATCTAGCGCAATGAGATGAAGAAAAATCGACGAAAAATTCATACGAAAGGGGAAGAAATTTGGGGAATGATAGAAGAGTGAAGGCCGAAAAGCGAACCCTAGGCCCCTTAAAATTCACATCATTAAAAAATCGCTGAAAGAAAATAGAAATAAGAAATATTCTTACCTTTCTCCCTATCCACATTCCACGCAATAAACACGAAAATCAAAAGCTCACAGTCGCCAAAATTAAATCAAATTATTAGTTCCTTTCTGTTAAATAAGTGGGTGTCAGATAAAAACATTCCCACATCTCGGAGCCGGAAGTCAAACATATCAAAACAAGATTCAAAACACATCAAACCCAACCAGAAAAGGGAAAGGTTTATAACACAACCCCTTCTCACGAACTGCGATTCCAATCCAATCAACAAACGACATGGCCTTACAAATTTCTATTACAAATACAACAACAAATGGGCACGTGTTGTTCGTCCTCCAAGAAATTTGTAAGAAAAATCAGATCACGAGACTTCAAAACCCAGAAAAATTTGCGTTAATTGGGTGCCTAAAAGCACGGATTTAACGAAAATGGTAAAAGACATCAGGCCTTGTCTTGTTCGTAATTTGGGCTTCTTTTTCTGCCGTGGATTAGATTGATGAACAGATCGTTCTAGTTTGGTCAAGTTAGTTGAGCAGCACAAAGCGAAGGGGAAGCTTGTTCTTTTCTGCTCATACGGGCCGCATCAGCGCACGCAGGCGAAAGCATAGCCAGGAGGTAGCGAAGTTCCACAGCCTATGTCGCTCTGTTTAATTAACTTGGAATTCAAAAAAATAATTTTAAATTTTAAAAAATAAAACAATTACTTCTTCTAATTAGTATCTTAACATTTAATAAATTATTATGTATTTAAAATTTTGAAAAGTAACCCATTTATTTTATAATAATGTATTATCATTAAATTTTTTACTAAATTAAAAAAAAAAAAAGTAAAATGTGCTAAATTTCAAATTATTTATAACTTAACGAATAAATAAATATAAATATAAATATCATAAACTCAAATATTAACTGAGATAAATAACCAATATGATATAAAAAAATCGGAAATATAGGATATTTTAGAGGGATTTGAGCAAAAATAATTTAAATCTTATTATAATCGGTTTTTACCATTAAAATAATTTATAATTGTAACGACCCAGATTCACCGCTAGTAGATATTGTCCTCTTTGAACTTTCCCTTTCACGTTTCCCATTAAGGAGGTAGACACGAGGCGGTGTGCCAGTAAGTAGCTGGGCCTCAAAGGGAGTGGATTTGAGGGAGTGGATTTAGAGGGCAGTCCCACGTCGATTGAAGGAAGAAAAGAGTGTTAGCGAGGACGCTGGGCTTCGAAGTGGGGTGGATTGTGACGTTCCACATTAGTTAGGGAGGAGAAATAAACCACCATTTATAAGGGCGTGGAACCTTCCCCTAGCAGACGCGTTTTAAAGCCTTGAGGGAAAGTCCAAGGAAAGCACAATATCTGCTAGTGATGGATCTGTATTTTACAATAATTACAAACAGTAAAAAACTGACGATATCTGTTAGCAGTAAGCTTGGGATCTTTACAGACATTTCCGAGCTTTTAGTCGCTGCAAATAATTTACATTATTACAACAAAGGAGTTTTTAGGATTTTTTACAATTTATTGTATGCTATGTTTACAATCTAAGCGAAGCCATGAGCCTATGATCGAGGTAAAATTATACAAATTCTAAACAGGGAAACCACAATTTCCCCTTTCATTTGACCTGCAATTTCCAGTTCTTGAGCTAAGCAATTACTACAAACTGCAGCCATTCGCTCGAATTCGAAGCTCTCCTCTTCCACTCCCAGCACCGCCATTAATGGTTTCTAAGCTCTTCTCCCAATTTTGCTGAAGGAGAAGACGATCGATCTTCAATTCGCCATCAGATCTGAGAATCCGCGGAAACACAGAACAGGAATCAGAATTCAGAACAAAGAAAAGCATATATTACGATGCGGCCTCTAGATTCATTCGAGAAATTATCGAGATCTGGTTTCTACCTTCGACGAGACTTTTCGCAAGGTAATTTCTCAATCTCTTCCTCAATACGAGGCTCTTCGTCATCATATCCTTCGCAAATAATCTCTCCATCGTCGTCTCTGTAGCAAATCACACCATTAGAACGATCCTCGAAAACCTGCCAAAATCAACTAGACTGTAAGAACAATGATCTGATCTAAGAAGTTTAGATCACAAGGATAGAGACTAACCACGTTGTTCTTTAAAGAACATGTAATTTGGAGAGTGAGAGTTCTATTGAGTGAAAATTTTGCAGGTTTGAGCATAAAAACTTCGCTCAGAGGCTTAGTTTGAAGAGATGTAACAGAATTTAGGGCAAAAGGAGGAGATCTGCAATTTGTGCCGGTCATCGCCATTGCCATTGGAGGTCTTGAAAGAGTTTGGTCTTCGAGCTTTAAAAAGATGCTTACGGAAACCAAACCGTCCTCCAATGGATTTCATATTAAACAAAACAAGCGTTGAAAACCTTGCAATTCATGACATTTTGGGACCCAACTTGCTTCATCTCGATCACTCCCTTTGTGCATTTGAGCATTAATTTATTGTCAAATTGGCCATTGCGTCATTTCCATAATCTGCTGGTTAGTTCAGTTCTAGAGGAACTTCGAATCAAATCTTACCGATTTTCATTTTCTTTTGATCTATGTTTATATTCGTAGAACTGACATAGATTAAGCTAATGTTCTCGATCAAAATATTAAAAGTTTGAATCTCTTCTAATATATATATTTCTTTTTTTTGTTAGATTGTCAGGAAAATAATCTAATCATTATCCCTTGCTTGCAAATATAAACTTCTTCGAGTTATTAGAGATGGATAACCACGTAAGTCAATCAATTTTTATCATTTTGTTCTTTTCTTTGTCTTTTATCATTTGGTAGTAGTCCTTTGTATGTTCATGTCATATCAGTCTTTGCAACTTGGGCCATTATCGGCATCTCCATTATACCTGTATATTAGGTTTTGTGTGATTCATTGTTACTTTATGAGTGTGTCACAGTTACCCTAAAAAGATGGAACCAACCATTTTGCAAAGGGACAAAACGAAAACTCTTTTCATGTATTGATAACTATTTGGTTTATTCAATGTCAAGTTGGTAGTTCGGCTCAACCAAAATCGAACATGCGCATACACACGCATTCTCCTAGCTCACACCACATCTCACACAAAAAGAGTATATATATGTTTGATCAATGTCAAGTTAGTAGTTCGGCTCAACCAAAATCGAACATGCACATACACACGCATTCTCCTAGCTCACACCACATCTCACACAAAAAGAGTATATATATGTTTGATCAATATAGATGACGACATTCTTGGTTTATTTATTTTTTATTTTTCTATGGATCGATTTTGTAGCATCCTAATTTCGTAAAGTAGATGAAAGATCATTACTTAAAAAAAAAAGGAAAAAATAGTGGAAATTATAAACAAATATTCAAAGATAAGGTAGAGGATCCCATGAATTTCTTTTATTCAAAATTGAAAGATCACACGAACAATACACATGAAAATCTCTTCAAAAAAATCCTTTCATATCGCAAGACTCAATTTATAGAAATCATAGAGCTAACTATAGATGTCATCTCCTTTTACTCCATCACGCCATTGCCCTTAACCAACTTTTCTAACTCAATTTATAAAAAAAAGAAAGAGATGCACGAATGAGTACATAAATATTCTTCTTATACATCGTTAATATATATATATATTATTTCTAAATATAAATCCATCAAAAAAAGATAACTTAGATTCTAAATCATAGGTTTTGTTTTCAAGGTTATGAAACTAAGAATCTTTTTATTTCTTATTAATCTCTTGTCTGCCTTTGAGGACTACTCGGGACCTTGAAGAACATAATTGCCACCCTACTAATTTGTACAACCACCTAAGCGCTCTCTTAACTCACTTGAGTTCAAAATACGTCTTTTTATTTCTTATTAATTTCTTGTCTGCCTTTGAGGACTACTCGAGACCTTGAAGAACATAATTGTCACTCTACTAATTCGTACAACCACCTAAGCTTGTCTAGCCCCTTTGGGGCTCCTTATTCGTAGTTTCTTTGAGCTCATAATTTATAAGAAAACTATGAAAGGCTATCTAACCCGTCATAATTAAAGGCAAACTTCTAATCATTAACCATACGCACACCAACTAATAGGTAGAGTCAAGTATTTAGCAAACTAGATCATATATTCTCATGTTCTTTGATAGCCTAACTCATGTAAGTTCGACGTAAACTCAAGTTCTTTTCTACTTAACTGTTCACATGACTTAGGTCTGTGGAGCTTGGTGGTCACTTTAGTCCAATGAACTTCATAACTATTCTATTCGTTCTCATAGTTCAACTCCTCAAAGTCTACTGTTGGATTCTTATGTCACTATTTATTTAAAAGTTTTGTTGATATCGAAATGTTATATAAGTAGGTCACAAACTTTCCTACTATGAACATTTAATCCGGTTAGACCACTTAAGCTTAATTAAGAATTCTAATTCTAAAAGCTCTTAACTAACTTTAGCCCAGCCCGATTGAGCTCATACTCATATTCCAGTGTTATAAATCTATGTTGTAGGCTTGCCTAGACAAATAAGTTATACTAATAAGAAACTTCTAGCTTTCAAAATTTAGCCTTAATAGGGCTCCTACTAACTTACTAATCTCTCATAGCCCCGTTACTTTGGTGAGATGTTCCTAGGAAAATGGAAAATCTTGTCAGTCTATCCCTCACATAGATAATTTATTAGGGTAGTTGACATAGCCATAATAATCTCATAATGCAAATGTGACATAAAAAGGAAGGAATCGAACCCTTGTATCTGCTAACTCTATGTGGTCCCTTACTCTATTTTCACAACACAAGATCACGATTAGGAAAGAGTTGGAGACCCTAATCGTACACACATAGTGTACGTATTGCACTATTAGATCAATTTCCCCTCAGTTTTGGACCGTTACAGCAAAGAACTCCTTCCACCTCCAACTTCATTTGACAGCAAGAATTTGGTTAAAACACAAGGAATTGGCCTCCGAAGTTCGATCGGAAGCGAAGCTGCTACTTTTTTTTTTTTATAATTAATTTATGTTAAATTTCGAAAATACCCCTCCTGCTATTTTATACATATACATATATATATATATATATATATATATATATATACACACATATATATAACGTTTAAGGATTTTATGAAATATGAACGAATAAATGTGTCTATTTCTTAAAAAGCTAAATTGATGGGTAAAATTTAAAAGGGTTCTTAATTAGTTAAAAATACATTTCAGTTTATTGAGAATCAAAATTGGTTTCAAATTATAAAGATAGTAAAAAAAAAAAAAACTTAATTAATTAAATAAATTTTGTTAAAGAGTGTTCATTAAATATATATATATATATATATATATATATATATATATATATATATATATATATATATTTCACTTGAAATGCTTTATTTTTTATTTAAGTAATGGAAGCTTATTTTGAGTAAGGAAATATTAAAGCCATCCCCTCACCCTATATGCAATAATGCGCTGTCACTATTCCTTTTTATGTAACCCTATAAAGTGAGAATATATCATAGCAATAATCATCGGTCAATCATCAATAATTAGAGTCGTGTATCAGATAGGGTTGATTCAAGAATACGACTTTTAATAAATAAATTTAAAAAAAAACTACTTATAATTTTAAGAGAGTTTTGTTATTTTGACGGAGAACGATAAATAAAACTTGGTCTGATTCACTCTATTTGATATCAATTCAAATTACGTAAGGCATGAATGAAACAACACCTCTAAACTGAGTATTGGGTCGAGTTGATTGGCTCGATTTGATTCGATTCGGCCCCAGAGGATTATTTTGTTAGGTTAATGAATGAGCTGAGGTTTGAGAGGAGAACCATGGTCTAAGAATGAAATTGTGTGTGTCAAAATAATTTTTATGACAACAAATCTTGTCGGGTGGAGCTAAGCATCTTTGGGAACAGAGAAAAAAAAACACAAAAGCAAAGGGCTAAGCTTAAAGACTATTGTGCAAAGAAAAACAGAGCAAAACCAGCTTTTGCCTACAAACCAGACATCCCCTTTCCCTTAAAAAAGCTTAAACAAATCCCATCTATAACTCATAAGAAGCTTCCTAAAAAGAATACAAAACATCAGAGAGAGAGATAAGAAGAAGCCATTGATATTACCTTTTCTTCAAGTTTCAAAATTTATGATTCACGAGATAGCCTTTCCCCTGCCCTTCTCCTTTTGAGAGATAGTACTGTTTCGTCCCCTTCTTCATCTCAGGCGGGCTTCATTCTCGCCCTACATCTTAGCCTTTGAATATATGCATACATACATACATATATATATATATATATATATATATATATATATATATATAGGTATATGTATAGAGATAAGCATGGCTTGGCTAAGCTTGGCTTTTGCAGGCTATCCCATGTTAGTAGCTGCATTTGGGTTGGGACAGTGAGGACTCTGCCACACTGCTTTATATCTAAATCATGAAGATAGAGATTGAGATAGAGATAGAGAAGAAAAAGGAGTGAACCCTTTTGATCATCTTCAACAAGCTTGAAAGCAATGGATCTTCCCACTCCCATATTTGAATCAAATGATGGGGTAAATGTTGTTTTGAGGCTTTTATTGGTTATCTTCTTCTAAAGCTCTTGATTATGGCTTGTGTGTTTGTTTTTCTGATTCAGGAACCGCCATTGGAGGGCAGGAGAAGCTTCTATGGTAGAACCAAGGGCAACCCTTTTGAAGGCACCTTCCATGACCCACTTTGCAAGCTCAATCTTAAAGAAACTTCAGAGTTTGTCAAGTCCTTACCAATGGCGAACAATGTCAGCTGCTCTGTTTCAACTCAGAGGAGGACAGAGGGTCTTAACTCAGTGACTCAAAGACGAGTTATGGAGTCTCCTTCAACTCCTGGAAGACCTGTTTTTGGGTTCAGTGTTGGAAACCTTTTAAGAAACAATGTCCCTTCAAAATGGGATGAAGCAGAGAAATGGCTCGTTTGTAGCCCTTGCAATGACTCCCCTGCCCACACATTGAAGCCATCCGAGCCCACAAGGATGTTAAAGCAATGTGAGGTCTTTGCTGAGAAGTCTCGAGTTACAGAGGAAAGGATCTCCAAAGCAGCAGCTTCAAGAACTGTTAATGGAGTTTCTGATCTACACATAAAAGGTAACAACTTTCCTGTTCTACTTAAAACTTTTCAGCTTTACTCAGAGCCCCTAAATTATTGCTACTTTTTCAACGTTTTCCTGTAGCTTGTTTAAAAACTACAGATAAGTTTATGGACGATTTGGAGGCAACTTTGTCCACGAACGAAGGCTTTGTGTTCAAGAGCTCACCCATTGACAAGATGAAAGTTGCAGGCGCCATTATTGAGGTTCAGCACAGAGACATTGGAACAGAGATGACTCCTCTCGGCAGTTCCACCACCTCAAGGTGTCCAACGCCATTTAAAAGCACTTCCCCTGCTCGCTACAACACGCCATCTAGCAGATC